ACACTATAATGAAACGTGTGTAACGTTAAACCACGAGGTTTTTTATCAGGTTGTTCAATTTTATCTACCAATATCGACTTCGAGAATGAAATATATTTTTCTTTAGTTTGTGCAAGAATATCAATCCTATCATTTTCACAACAACGTTGTTTGATAAATAAATGGCTGTCATAGCCCGATAAGTTGTGAAAGAACACTGGAATGTGACCCGGAAGTTGAAAATTCAAGTTACAGACACCGTGAGCTCCACCCCTAAAACTACCAGTTAAATGATCATGATCCCTTACTTTTTCATCTCCAGGATTAATTTTTCGGCTACAAATACTGCAAATGTCACATTTTTCAAATTCAGACTTTTCTTCATTTGTTAGAGGAAACATTGGAATTACATGTTTTAAATAATCATTATAAATTCTATGGACATGCGCTTCAATTCGTTTACAAAATTCATCAGCTGCGTTTAGACCAAAATAGTAATCTACTACTGATAGAGAGTCATCATATGAAAATTTAATAAAATAAGCAAAAGCATACGGCTCATGTTTGTAGGTATTTATAGTAAAAGAACAGTAATTATTTTCTGGTTCGTCAAATTTTAGAGGTTTTAAAACGCATTCAAAGTCAGCATATATTACAAATGGAACCTTTAACTGTTTATGAAAATTTTCAAATTGAAGAATATTTTCTGGAATATCTTGACCGTATTTATTAACTCTAATATCTGTTGATAGAATTTTTGTAAACAAATGATTACAATCATTTTTTTGATGTATATCTAATTTCAGTTTTGAATTGAAATATACTAAACAACCATCACAAAAATATTTTTTAATCTGTTTACCTTTAATTTGACCTGCCACTAACCTTGACATGTCCTTAATCCAACAATAATGATTGTTTTTACCTTCATCAAAAATTAACAAATTCACATGTGTTGGCAGTTTTTTACTAGTATAATGAAGTGGACCTACCACTTCATGTTTAAACTTATTTTCTTCATAAACAGTTTCTAATCCGTATACGTTAATAGATATTTGATTCAACACTTCAAATTTTTTTATGTCTTTCATCTTCACTAGGAAGAAGAAATTCGGATATGAACTGTGTTTTTCAGCTGGAAATAACGCACTTATTACACTCTATACAACACAATATTGGGCATTATTTTTAACATTAATTACAGCTTTTCTGTACTTACTTTGTTTTGGTAAAGGAATATATGAAGAAGCTCTAATAGGATTATACTTGTTAACGTTAACTTCTAAAAACAATATTTTTTCCAGCGCCCATCCAGATCCGTTTTCGGTGAAGGTTGATACTTTCTCCTTGATAACAGACAAAAAACCATTAAAAATTTCTTCAATATCCGAAGTTGTTATAATTTTGTTTTTAGTATTAAATGACTTGGTTTCAGTAGTTTCTTTGGAATGTAAAACGTATTGACCAAATAATTCAACATTACTTTTAACAGCTCTGTGTTTTTTACTTATTCTCTAACCAATTTTATAAATTTACTTTTAAGTTCGTCAAAAAATTGATCAATATCTATCAGTTTTTTTTGATGGAAGCAGCATAAAAGATATAATCCTGCTTTTGAAAGCTGATGTAATAATTTTTACACGATCATCATCATCATCATTATCATTTTTCTGAAGTAATGCAGTTTTATGAACATTAGATCGTGAATATGCACTAACTTTAATTCTTGCACACCAGACATCCCATTCCTTACAACGTGCTAGTATAAGTTTTGGTAATTTCGATTGTTGTAAATTTTTTTGTACATTACTTTCTTGTATTTTCGGTTTTTTTGGTGGTTGATCACTTATTTGGGAATCAGAATTTCTTTTGAAAGAGAACTGGTGACTAGAACATGATGGTCTATATATGCACGATTCTCTTTTGTGTCTGTAGATATTGTATTTTTGAGTAAAATTTTACTACAATCACTACATTGAAACATCTTGGACAGCAAATTTATTCTTCTAAAGTCATACTTTCCATTTCCTTTGCTAATTTATTTGACTGTAGTCCCAAATTCACTATATACATATTATCACAAAAATATTTAGTACTTATCTCATATTGTAGCAAATTTCCACACAATTCTATCACTTCCTCAATTAAAAGAATCAATTCTGCATTATAAAATGATGTACTTTTTGTTTGAATGAGTTCGTTTAAATGTTCAGTAAACAAAATTTGAAGTTCCGAAACTGTTGCCACTACTGACGGACTCAACATTTGTGCTATGTTCATCACTCACTAAACTGATTGAACAACTTAATAAAAATCGTATGAAACCGGAGAGTGTGATATACAGGAAGAAAAAGGTGGAGCGGGGTATTTGGTAGGGTTAGGAGTGGGGTTGGTGGTGGGGTTAGGAGTGGGGTAGGTGGTGGGGTTAGGAGTGGGGTAGGTGGTGGGGTTAGGAGTGGGGTAGGTGGTGGGGTCAGGAGTGGGGTGGGTGGTGGGGTTAGGAGTGGAGGGGGGACGGGTATGTGCTGGGGGAAGTATGATTCCCTAGGTGGAATGACGCCTTACCTTCCACTTTACTGATAGCGGTTACACAAGTTTCATTAATAAAGTTCATATCGAACGTGTATCATTCAGAATTTAATCTACGATGGTCCAAATGGATTTGATTTGCCTTGAAATAGCTAACACTTTTCAAATTAAAATTCAAAATTTAGCAGGTGCCCGTAATAGTCGGGAACCTGCTTGTTGATTTTTAGAATTTTGACTTTGGCAGCTTTAATATTGAATTCCATTTTTGTGTCATAAATTCAATTTTATAGTGGAAAATAATATTAATATTGTTGATTCTGAGTTCGGAAGTGTCGCTTCGAATATCGAGGCAACATCAATGAAAAGGTTCTTCTGGTAACTAACTTTCTTTTTGTATATTTTTCATTTCATAATTTGGATGTTTTTATGAATTCCTAAACGCACTAGTGCTATTATGAAGGACCTAATGACATTCAAATGACAATGCTAAATGTGTCATAATGACACCGAAGTAGATTAAAATTTATCAAAAAGTTCCTTTAACAATATTTTTATTTCCCTTTACTCCTTTTTCGACGCCACTGCACTAAATTTTCGAGTGTTAAAATATACCACGTTTTTCTATTTGATTTTCTAAGGGAACAAAAAAAACCGCATGCTTTCATCATTAAAAGTGCCACGGCAGGAGAAAAATGACCATAGGCTATATAGGCTATATAGGGCATTCCATTTGGAAATAAAAGTTAAAAGTACGCAAATTTTAAAATTTCTGACAATAAATTTTTGTTTCTGACGATGGATTCTGAAAATTCAGCTAAAACTGCACAACTTTTGTGTTTACACATCATCTACCTGTAAAGAATGCTACAAAAAATCACAACATGTTGCATGTGTTTTAAAAGTTTGTTTAGAAGACCAAAAATTTTTACCCGTTCTAATTTTGAAACTAAATTTAGAGTTTCGAAATCATAGTTATAAAAATGTTTTTCATCAGTCAATTGAACAAAAGCAGAAGGTATTTCCTCAAAAAAATCTAATATTAATCAACACCGCAGTACAGCAACAACAGATAGAACCGAGAGTCGAGAACATTGCTTCCCCAACGTTGCGTGATTACATTTAAAAATGCATCTGACAAAACCCCAAAACCCGACAGAAGGTCAACAAAATCCAAACTAAAAGCCAAAATATCTGAAATAGTGATTCACTTAAAGCTATATCTCGCAAAACTGTTACCCTTTCCTATTGAAATTGTTGCCAGAAATTTTCCCATAACCTAATTGGTTAAATGCTCCAAACTTCTGGGTCCAAAAAAAAAAAAAACTATTTGCGAACTTGGCGTAATAGATTTACCAGGATTCAGTGCCGAACGGGTCTAAGCCAACATAATTAAGAATAAGTGAGGTGTGAAGGGAATATCGGACCCGCTAGCTGAATCTCATTGGGGCCTTATACATTCAAAAGATAAATGCCGCGTCGTCTTAAATTGCATAGTTCCCCAGATCCCACATTAGTTTTCCAGGCCTCCACAAATATTTGGAGGGCGGTTTCATAAGGCACAATTTATTGTTCAAAATAAATTTGATGAACCCTAAATTTCTCCGGGGGGATTTATTCATATATACCTTTTAGGCTTTTACCCTGGCTGCCATGCCTCGCATTGATACTTGCTTCGAGAATTTAAATGATCTTTTAATGTAATGTATTTTGCCTTAGGATAATGGTCTATAATCAGAAAGCAGAGACTTCACCTAAATTGCATCTCTAATGTTTCGCATCAACTCAAGAAAATTGCTGCAATTTTCGTTTAGATTAGATAGTAGCGTAGGTTGAATCGCAAATTGAACAGCATTGAATATAGTTCAAGTTATTTTCGTCAATTGTTTTTAGATGGAGTAGGAGTATAGAATCTCAGAGACAGAAGTATAGATTTATGATAAATATTTCTCGTTAGAATTTCCGCTGTACTGATTTACATTGTACGAAAAATGCAAAACAAGTTTTCAGTGGAATAAAATTACTACAAGGCTTCTTTTTCGCGTTTTCTTGCCACCTATTAATCTTCATACAATGTCACGCTAGGAGGATATTCATTCGAGGCCGATATAAATCATGCATATAAAAAGGGACGTAACTAGGTCCTTCCGATTTAACTAGAATTATTACTCGGATGGATTTCCGAGGGAACATTTTTCAAACAATGTTTCATTAATTTTCAATTGATTCACTTTCTTGCGATCCATTGAACATTGAAACTGCCAAGGAAATTTTAAGCCCGTTTTTACATTACTTTGTCTTTTATCGAAATAATAATATCGACTTTCACTTACCGTTGCCAATTTGCTGACTTAAAATCTTTTTAGTTATGACAAAACCTTAACGTTATTATATACATTTGAAACAGCAATAACTATCTCCCACGCTCAGTTCTTCCCTCCATATGACTGTCATTTTTCAAAAAGCCAGACAAAATTGCAGATATTTGGCAACTCATGGCACATGTTCCAAATTGCCGGGGATTAGGATTAGAGCCAGAACTAATATTTTATACTAAAAGCCGGGGAAGGTAATTTATTTTATTATTTTATTCACTAAAATTAAGTCATATTTTGCGGCAAATTTTGAAACGAAACTACCTAACCGCTTTATAGATTTAATTTTTCTTCATCGACTGCATATTGGAAGTACCTATATCGGAGAATGGCTATTCGGGTTAGTTAGCTATGGTGTGGACGAACTACCTACTCATTTCGCAGTAAATAGAGACAAAAAGCCAATTATCCAAGCTATGTTCATCGGATCCATGATTATCTAATTTGAATCAGGAAATCGATAAATAGCTAGAACCAATTTTTAGTGGGAAACTTGAATTCTGTCATTGGCAGCGAATCCCATAGATGTTTCAATTATTAATATATAATATTATAATTTGTAAAGGGTAAAACAGCGTTCAACGATTAACTTATACTTAGTCAAAACAATAAGATTAAAGGTTATCTTAAGAACCTGAAAATATTAACTACGTGGATAGTAACAAAATCCTGAAGCCATCCTGAAGATGGAAAAATTACTAACAAAGCCAAATAGAAATTGAACAAAATATAATATGTGTCAAAACTATATTATACAAGTAGCGTCGAAATGAACAAATATTAATCATCCTGGAAAAATAAGTAACACCATGGCTTCAAGGTGTAAGATCGGAGCTCAGATAGAATTTGAAAATGAAACAGAACATCCGCCCCCAAATATTACAGTTAGCAATTTGTTTTACCAGCGCCTGTTATAGCTGGACCTACAAGCGTATACCAAAGAAAAGCTGTAAGATCTAACCCACACCAACAAACACGCTAATTTACTAAAACGTCAGGGACTTGAGGACGAAATCTGGGGAATTCTCACGCAGTGTTGACTGTTGTGGCTTGCATCTATGACGTCATTTCGCTTACAGAAACGTGGCTGTCTTCAAATCAGTTCAACAAGCAATATTATCGTGAGGGCTATGCAGTGTTACGTCATGACCGAGACTATAATATGCTTAATCTTCAGCGTGGTGGGGGTTCCTTGGTTGCGGTATCTTCAGAATAATGCAAACGCTATTGATTCACCTGTACTTGCTTTCTTCGCAGATGTTTGGGTGCACATTGTTTTCCCTGGATATTATGTAGTGGTTGATTGCGTCTACATTGCACCGAATTCTGCTTTCGAAACATACCATTAATTCATGTATATATATACATGTCGTTTTAAAACGTCTTTCGTCGTTGTCCGACACCTAATTTCCATCCTCTTCTATCGTCGCAATCCTCTGATGAGAGATTTCTTTCACTCATGGACTTTTGTATGGTCTTCTGCCATTCCAGTTTTGGTCTTCCTCGTTTTGTTCTACCTGTTGGTTGCCAGTGCAGCATTTTTCTGGGCCACCTGTCATTTGGCATTCGTTCTACGTGTCCGTACCAGGTAAGTTGTTTCTTTTCAATGTCCTGGACTATCGTAGCTTCTATACCCATTTGTTGTTTTATATTGTCGTTCCTGATTCTGTCTCTTCGTGAGATTCGCATGGATCTTCTAATAGCATCCATTTCAACTGCTTCCACTTTTTTCTTTTGTCTGTCTGTAATTCTCCAAGTCTCGGCTCCATATAGAAGGCTGCTCTTTATTATTGTCTCGTATATATTAAATTTTCTCTTCTTTGTAATTTCCTCGCTCCCTAATATTCCATTTAGGCATCCTATTACTTTTTTAGCTTTAACAATTCGCTTTTCTATTTCTTTCACGTCTGTTCCGATGTTGTCGAATGTGATACCTAGATATTCATATTCTTGACATTGCAGAATTTCCTGACCATCGTCCACTTCCAGGTTTCCGTTCTGATTGCCTACACAAAGATATTTTGTTTTATTTATATTACCTCTCATTCTTGATACTCTTCTATCAGCTTTCTAATCATATATTGCATATCCTCTTTGTCGCTGGCCACTATGACCTGATCATCTGCAAACTGAAGTGTAAACAGGCACCTATCATTTATCTCTATAACCATTCCATGGATCTTACTCTTCCAATTTTTCAGTGCTGCTGCTACGTGTATTTCAAAAAGCGTAGGAGAGATACATCCTTGGGGTGCGTTCGAAATTACCCTGGGCGTCACACCGAGTGCACACCAGCTATGAATTATACATGGCTGGTGTGCACTCGGTGTGACGCCCAGGGTGATTTCGAACGCACTCTTGACGTAGTCCTTTATTTACTATAAATGTGTCTGTGAGTTTTTTACCTATCTTAATTCTTGATTTTGAGTCTTTATATAGTTCTTTAAGTGCCGTTATGTAGGTGTCATTGATGTTTGTGTGCTCTAATACCTTCCATAGTCTGGATACTGGGACTGTATCGTATGCTTTTTGTAGGTCAACAAATGTGAGGTGGGTTTCCAAATATCTAGCAGATCTGTTTTCTATGACTTGTTCCAGGCAAAATACGTTGTCCGTACCTGATCTTTCTGCTCTAAAGCCGCACTGCTCTTCTTCTCCTTGCCCTTTATAATCTTCTTCAATGAGATCACGCAGGATTCTACCGTATAGTCTGCTTAGTGTGCTTGTGACTGATATGCCCCGATAGTTATTGCAATCCAGCTTATTTCCTTTTTCGTGAATGGATGATACAAAAGCCGTTTTTCAGTCTTGTGGAACAGGATGTCCATTTAGGCATTTATTGATGATACATGTGAGACCTTTAAAGAGCTTCTCAGTTCCCCATTTCAGCATTTCTGAGCATATCCCTTCTGGGCCGCTAGCTTTACCTGACTTAAGATTCTTAACAGTCTTTTCTACTGTTTCTTCAGATATCTCAACTACTTCTCCATGTACTTCAATATGTTTTGGAGAATCTAATATATATTCCGGTCTTCTTTCTTGTGATAGACCCTTGTAATGTTCTACCCATTGCTCTGGTTTAATAATCTGGATATTAAGCTCTGTCTTTTCCTGGGTTTTTGACATTTGATATAAATCTCCATACCTCTGAGCATTTCCTTCCTCCTATGTAGGTGTTAATTTCTTCACATTTCTTATCCCATGACTCGTTCTTAGCTATAGTGATGCACGTTCTTAGTTGTCTTTTTGTGCCTTTATAAACTTCAAGGTCTTGTTCATTTTTTGTTGTTAGCCATTTCAGATATTTTTGCTTCTTCTGTTAGACTAATAGCTCTATCTCCTCGTTCCACCAATATTTCTTGTTGGTATTTTTTTTTCTCGTTCCTATTGCTTCTAGGGTGGCTTCTATTAGACTTCTTATTATATTCTCATAGAGTTTATTGAAGGTACATTCTTCAGGGTTCAATAGTTTGCTATCGAGTCGCCTCTGATATAGAAATACAGTGCTGTCATCTCTAAAACTGTCAAAATTATAATTTGTTGTATCCACTGTGTCCGTTAGTATGGCATTGGTGTTTTGTTCCTCTGAGTTCTTGTTCGTTTTCCTAAATTGCAACTTTATTTTGGCTCTTACTAAAAAATGATCTGACCCGCAAGTTATTCCTCTTAGGACTCTTACGTCGTTTATCTCTATGTTTGTTTTTTGTTTGCTTATCACATAGTCAATAATAGTTTTCAGGTTACGGGTATTCTGTATCCATGTGTAGCGGTGAATATCTTTGTGTTTGAAAAATCCATAATTTATTCTAAGATTGTGGGTCTCACAGAGATGTATGAGCCTTTGGCCATTATCATTGATTATTTCTTCTCCAAATGGTCCTACAACTGAGCTATTGTACATCTTTCCCGTTCTTCCATTGAAATCCCCTAGCATTATGATTTCTCTATTTCTTCCAATTAATTCATGTACAAAAGTTGAAAAAATCACAAAACACCGTTTTTGATAGTTGGAGACTTCAAACTTTTCCATATAAAATGGTTTCTTGAGGAACGCGTCCTGAGCCGAGGACAATCAAGAATCTTAGCAGAAGAACCCTTCATTGGGGCAATGTATTACTTGTAGTTAAAACAAATTATTCATGTTCAAAATTTCTTGGATAGGGTCTTGGACTGCATATTTATTGACAACATCGAAACTTACTCAGTTGGACATAGCAACCCATCCTTTGATCAAGTGCGACACCTGCTCTCCAGCCCTTAAGCTTACCTCTGACAGCAGTGTGACGGAAGTAGTGAGAGATAACGGCTCTTCAATTTTTATACAGCTCTACTCTCACATGGACTGGTTTTTCATCGACTGGATAGTTGGTCGTGTTTAATAGTTCTTGAGTATTGTTTCAACGTAAAAGTTACGTCATCAACACATATTGTTGGTTAATTTTTCTGGTAAGTTGGTCTTGTCTAATAGTTCTTAAGTATCTTCTCTTTGTTTTAACGTCAAAGTTACGTCATCAACAAAGGTTGTTTGTTAGTTTCCTGGTTTTCAAAATGCCAGGATCAAGAAAATATGCCCGACGGAGTCATAGGAAGTTCTAGCAGTAGAAGTTCCTCAAGTGAAGAGCGTTATAGGAAAAAGAAGGGCAGTAAGTATACTACTGATACAAGATCTCATGCGCCTGCTTCGGCTCCGAATTCTGAAATAGCGGAGTAAAAACGCCGGCGAAAGACGCTTCTTTCTGGATTTTTTTTTTTGAGGTAGAACCAAACGAGACTTATATAGCATTATTCAGAATTTCACTGGCCATATGAAATGCAACTTCACGACATCCTCAGTTGGGGCTGACTCATTTTATAGCAAAAAATATGTCAATAATGACAAAATTGTAAAAACTTACTTTTTGACATATAACTCACGATATCTTCAAAAGTATTCTAACTATTGAAACGATTTTTTTTTTGTTGAAAAGAAGACACTTCAGCGGTTGTAACGGTGTATAACAAGTAGTCATTGTCACCTCAATTTTTTTCAAAAAAAAAATAATAATATTGATAATCATCTTTTATGCATTGCTTTTTTCAGCAATCGAAAAACTTTTTTATTTTTGAGAATTTTACCATATATCCTGGGAGTGAATTAAAGTAAAAAGTATATAGAAGTTTTTTAAAAAAAAATCAGTTAGTTATCAGTAACCGATAACGAGATAACTGCAGCTGAACATAGACCTCCCTAAATATTTTGCTCTGTCGGGTCGGAGCGACGCGGCCGGCGTCCCATCTGAGACGAGTACGGCGGCATGCCAGCCAATAGTATTGATCAATTTGGCGTTTGCCGTTAAGCTGATTTTCTTTTTTTGGGTTCAAATTCGAGTTTGTGAGAAAAAGTTAGTGGATAATTTTTGTGCCAACATTTTTTGTTCGTGTAGTAGGTATACTTGTACTTACATAATTATATTTACATAATATAATATTCGATTGTAACCTATAGATTTGAAGAAGACATTCTAATGGAGTGCATTTTGTGTGGAAAATCCATTGATGGATTACAAGACGAATCGGTAGTACACAAACCAACAAAACAGGGTCTACAAACCATCTGTAGTGCTGCTGAAAAAAGACAGGATACTTCTGGAATACGAATTTTAGAAAAAAAATACGCTATTTTAGATGGAACTTTAAAAGTAAAATTTCATAAAACTTGCAGAAAAACGTATACTAGTAATATGAATATTGCTTCTGCCACCACCAGTGAAACCGATGATCTATTAAACCAGGCAACTGCTTGCTCTAAAACCACCAGAAGTCACACTGGTTCCTTTGATATAAGAAGTATGTGTTTAATCTGCAACAAAACTGGACCCAGAAAAATTAGGCAAAAGAAGGAAAAATTAACTTCGGTACAAACAGGTAAGTAAAATTATTTTTACTTGAAGCATGTTAAATTCACAAACATATAACAAATATCTCATAATAAAATCTCATTTTAATTCAGTATATTGTAGGAAACTATATTTTATTTGAAAAATATGGTAATAAGTTACCTAGATGTAGTGAGATAAGAACAAATAGTATCTAGGTTTTTATTTTATTTTGAGGAATATTTGATTTCATATACCTAAAACATTTTTTTCCATTACCTACCTATTTGTCTTATAGGTTCTGGCAAAAATACGTTTAAAAAAATAATTGAGGCTGCCAAAGAGAAAAATGATATATCAATGATTTAAAAATTATGTGGCTTCGAAGATTTGTTTGCTTATGATGCCAAATACCACAAAAGCTGCTATACCCACTACATATCGCGGCGAAATATACAAGCCACAAAAAATGAAATGAAAAAATCTTCGGATCAACTTCCGCAAACTTTATCGAAATCAGAGGAGTATTTTTCAGATGAGTCCGATACTACAGATAATGAAAATTATTTCACGACGGAAAACAATCATGATAGTGGCATACAAGTAATTTTACATAAGGCAGCTGAAATACTGAAAAGGGAAATTCGCAAATTTCAGTCTGAGCAAAAAGAGTTCCCCATGCCTGAAAACATTTCTTCATCTGAATTTGAAAAACCACTGCCCAAATTACTTCTCACATTTATGTCTTGGCTAATAGATGATAATGCTTTTAACAATATGGAAAGTGAAGTGGCAGAAGCAGTTATACCTTGCAGCATTATTATGGCTCTGGTTTCAAAAATTTATAAAAAAAACTACTTTCAATTTGGATTGGGACTGTTCATACATCATACAGTTCGTAGTAAACAACTTTTGGAGACTTTATCTGATATTGGCCTCAGCTGTACCTACAATGACGTTCGCCAGTTAATAACGGCACTTGTGAAACAAAAGGTCCATAAAGAACAAACTTATATACCACTGGGTATAGATATGGTTAGTCCTTCAATGAAAAATTATATCCATGCAAGTATGGATAATTTTGATCTAAATGAACAGACTATTGATGGTAAAAATACAACTCATAGCATGGCTATAGTTGTGTTTCAACAGCGAAATAATGATCGTAGTTTTGCACGTTCAAATATTTCCAGAGAAGGACCTTATTCGCTAAACACAGAAGACTTAGATTTTCCTTTCCAAAACATTTTGAAGTATAACAATCCCCCTAATCGTCCCAAGCCCTCATCATTCAAACAAATTGTTCTTAACAGACAAGAAGATGAAATTGCAAAAAAAAAACAATCTAGCCTGGACGCTTTTACGAAACTTTAATGGCGGAACCCCATTTTTTAATTGGTCCTCATATAATAATATTTTATCTGATAATGAGATTGTCGTTTCGGATATTTTTTACTTGCCATTTTTAAACAACCCCCCTACAGAATACGATACAATTTATACTTCAATGATACGCTTACTTCAATTAGCAAAGGAGCTTGATCAAAATCATATAGTAATAACAGCGGATCTTGCAATCTATTCCAAAGCTAGAGAAATTTTATGGAACGATCCACCAGAACTAAAAGGCAGTGTAACATTAATGATTGGAGGCATGCACTTGAATATGGCATATATTGCTAGCATAGGCTACATTTTTGGTGACGGCGGTCTTACAACTATGCTGACTGAAACTGATGTATATGCCGAAGCTACATGTAAACTTATGATGGAAGGTAAACAGTATTCACGGGCTATTCGTGGATTGACTTTAGCTGCTGATGCCTTATTCAGATTGTTTTTCAAATCATTAGAACATTGGTGTAACAATCCAGAATCAAATAAATTCCTAACTCAGGAGCTTAATACTTCTATAGAAGATTTGAGAAATGAATTTAGAAGCCATAAATATGACAAGCATAAATTTGATAAATTTCTTGAATAAATTGAGACGCTCCAGAATATCATCAGACGTTTTGTTGAATCCGGCTATGCCTATTCAACATTTAAGTTTTGGCACTCTTTCCTAATAGCAGTTGAGTTTCTCTGGAGACTGCTCAAGTCAGAAAGAAATGGAGATTTTCAGGCACACTTATGTGCTGTATATGATACACTGCCATATTTATCAGCTGCTGGACGAAATTTATACTTTAAATGGGTTCCAGTATATCTATCCGATATGGAGAAATTGAAAGTAGAAGTCCCTGACATGTTTGAATTTCTAGCAGCTGGTAATTTTGTTGTAAAAAAAACCAACGGAAAAAAGTTCAACTGTGTGGCCTCAGACATGGCTCTCGAGCAATCCATTAATAAAGACTGCAAGAGCTCTTCTGGAATAATTGGATTTTCTAAACAACCAGGGGCTCTTCTACGATGGATGACAACAAGGCATATATTGGGAGATTATTCTAAAAATTTTTTGGGTAAGTAGGTGATGATTTAACTAACAAACTTTTTTTCTAAAATATTTTATTTTTTTCCACAGAAGCCACCTCAAACATAGTCAAAAAAGGCAAGAAAGAAGCGTCTCTGCAAACCGACTCTAGGATGGAAGGAAAAAATGAAGAAGATGTTCTAAAAATCCTCAATAGCATAGAGAACTATTGGTGTAATCCGTTTGATCTAGATAATGCCCCAGACCGCTTAGTTAATATATGTACAGGAAAAATAGTTAACGAAGAAGTAGAGAAGAGTCTGGGAAATTTCTTAGAAATTGCAACAGAGAAAGTCCAACATATTTTGAATAATCCACGTGAAGAGGATTTCTGGAAACCTGCGAAAAGAAACAAAATACAAACTTTCAAAGACACCAAAGTCAAGCCAAAATCCATGGCAAAAAAAACGTTCATTGGATCAGAATGCATGTTTCGTCGGATAATATGTGCAGCACGATTTCAAGAAATGGACTTGTCTAATATATTATCATATGAGTTGTCTGCAGTTCCAGCATCTCTATTTCATGAAGATGGTTCTATGCGTAAAACGACAAAATCCGACTTGGCTAAAAAACTTGAGTCATTTACTGAAATAATTACAACTATTAACACTAATGTCAACTCCTATGTTATTGATGGAATGGTTTTGATTCGGGAAGTAAATTTATCTTCGATTACAACATTCAATGACTTTGGACGAATGTTTCTGGGTAAAATTTTAAAAGAAGGAAGAAAATACGGCTCGAAAAGAATAACTGTCATATTTGATACATATGATGTGAATTCGCTCAAGAACACCGAAAGATGTAGACGTGGAAATTCAGACACACCCGAATTCCAAGTATCTGGATCAAGGAAAGTACCAAAATTTGACATTTTTCTCAAATCTTCCACGAATAAAACCTCCCTGTTAAATTTTTTAACCAACTACTTTGTACAGAACAGCCCAATATTATTAAAAGACGATGAAACATTTATTATAGCCGGAGGATTTGAAAATCCAAAAGAGGCATTGTTTTTAACTAGATCCGATTATCCAAAAAATGTATCGTCGTTGAACAGCAATCAAGAGGAAGCCGACACCCGGATAATTCTTCACGTTCTAGCAGAGGTTGAGTTCAGCAAATCAATTATTGTGAAATCCGTGGACACGGACGTTTTTCTACTACTTTTACATTATTACAGTACCACTGAAAAATTATCAGAATGTTGTTTGTATATACAATTAGGACATAGTAAAAACAAACGTTATATTGCCATACATGATATTGCAAAGAAATTGGGTCCCCTCGTTTGTGGAAATCTTCTAGCAATTCATTGTTTAACAGGCTGTGATACTACCAGCGCGTTTTACAAAATAGGAAAGAGGACAGCTTTTGATATGTTGACAAGGAATATCAATGTACTAGCAGAAATAGGAAATCTTCCTAATTTAAGCGAAGAAGAAGCCATCGAACTAAGTACTAGATATGTGTATACCTTATACAAAAATAAAAATAAGGACATTGTTAATCTCAATGAAATGCGGTGTTTTTTAACGTCAACAACCAACCGCACGGCAGCAGAACTTCCCCCTACAGATGACGCTTTTAAGCAGCACCTTAAAAGGTAGCTTTATCTGTTGGCTTCATATTTGCAAATAATAGTTATAAAAGTTATATTTTAGGTGAATATATCAATTAAAAATTTGGTACTCCAGCCATCAAGCGGAAAATCATTTTGAAGATCCCAGTAGGTACGGCTGGATATTGGAGGAAAATGTATGGGTGCCTGTTTTATCAACCCAAGAACCTGTGCCAGATAATTTACGAAAAATTTTATCCATTCGCTGTTCCGACAAAATCTGCAATAACAGCAGATGCATTTGTGTTACTCAGGGATTAAAATGCTGTACTGAGTGCAAATGCAAATCCTGTTCAAACGCAATTGTAATAGAAGATGCAGACTCGGATTCTGATTCATATTAAATTTAAGATTCATACGACACAAAAATCATAGTTATTATTCAATTTCAACAAAAAAAAATCATTTCAATACTTAGAATACTTTGGAAGATATCGTGAGTTATATGTCAGAAAGTAAGTTTTTATAATTTGGTCATTTTTGACAAATTTTTTGCTATAAAATGAGTCAGCCCCAACTGAGGATATCGTGAATTTGCATTTCAGATGGCCAGTAAAATTCTGAATAATACTACATAGGTCTCGATTGGTTCTACGCTCAATTTTTTTTTTGAAAGATTTCGCGGCCGTTTTCACTCCGCTAAAATAAAAATATTAAAATTTATGATTGAAAAACTGCCCAGGGAAAACGCAGAGCTAAGTCACATGCGCGAAATAAAACTTGTTGTCAAAAGTGACTACATCCCCGAGTTCTCGCCTTCTAATAAGGCGTTAACGGCAAATCAGTGGCTAGAAAAGATAGAGCAACTGAAACAAATTGATTGGCTGGAAGCATATTTAGGAGTTCTTTTTGACAGTCACCTTCGTTTTAAAACACATATTAACCAATGCATACGATCAGCTTACCTTAATCTTAAAACTATTTTCTCTGTGAGACAGTATGTGAGCTTCCCTGTAAAGAAAATTTTATGTGAATCTTTAGTTCTCTCCAGGTTCAACTATGGCTCCGCAGTTTATGGGCCTTGTATAGACTCCAGAGATACAAAAAGAATCCAGGTAGTGCAAAACTCCTGTCTACGTTTGATATGTGGAATAAGACGCCGATGCCCAATATCACACAAATTAAAGGATCCCCGAATAAACTGGCTTAATATGGCTAACCGTCGGAAGTTACTTTCGGCATGCCTTTTCCACAAAATTATTTTGAATAAAATGCCATCAAATTTATTTAATAAAATTATTTTTAATAGAAATCCTCACTCTCGGAACTTGAGACATGTGAACAGGATAAGGGTTCCAAAGCATAAAATAGAGTTTTTTTAACGTTGTTTTACTTATCAAATATCCAAAATATACAATGCTGTTCCTGCCTCGCTTATTGAGAAATCCGAATTAGGTTTTAAAAAAGGTTTCAAAAATGTTTTACTCAGCTGTTGAACTTTACCTATGTCTCGGTTAGTACAGAATCATGTCATTGAAAGTCTGCTTGCTGATTTATCCAAGGTTCATTTACATTAGGTTCCGTAGGAACACATTTTTGTTTTGTTTTTTTTTTTTTTTTTTGTACAGCATGCAGTTTGGGGAAACATAATTAAGTATGAACTTACATTTATATTTATATTTTATATGGTATATAGTATAGTTAGTTAGCTTATAAGTATTATTAGGACTTAAGGTTTGGAAAAAGTTATTATTTTTATTTTATTTATTTTTTGCTTAAGATTTAATGCAGAGGCCATCTTGTTTTCAAGCTGGTCAACTGATCTTCGGCATTTTTCTGGCTCAGTTTTTTTCTTTCTTGTACCCTTCGGGTTTGAATTGTGAATATTTAATTTTTTTTTTTGCTGGAAAATAAAGACCATATTTATTTATTTATTTATTATATGGCGACGATCTATTGCGTGTGATAGGGTATGCCCAAAAGTTCGAATCATAGCCTGACCAACTATAACTATAGTTGGGAAGAGTGGAAAGCTCTGATCTGGAAAACGTTTCCCTAAAACATACACTTCGCGGCAGCCTTACTAAAGATGCTGAATCGTCAGACACCAACCCAATGAATCAATGACCATCTATTATTTTGGAAAGATGGAGCTATTGGAGCTGCTTAGAATATGCGGAACAACGGAAAAGAAAAGTGTGTCGTGCATCATAGACGAGATAAGCGACCCCGTCGTTCAGAATTCTGCTAGAGCAGGCCGGTACGACACCCCTGAGGCACTCTATGAAGAGTATCTGTTTGCATTGGCTGGAGACGGGAGAGTTGGAAAAGTTTCTACTCATGTCTTGAGGGCTGATCTCCGAAATGTCATACAAAAGCAAAGAAGTCGCACCACTCATCGTGATACCAGTTTGGAGGTGAAGTGTTTCAACTGTTGCCAAAGAGGACACATGCTTTCTAAATGCGACAAAATAAAGAGGGTTTTGTGGCAAGTGTAATTGAGTCGGACATGAAGATAACCAATATTATGCGAAGATCAAGCGGAATGATGTTCAGCAGTCGTCAAAGAATCAAGGTAATAAAAGTAGTGTAGACAATTCTTTTTTTGTGGTGAAAGGCTCTATGGATAATCCAGATCAAAGCTTTAACGAAACTTAAGCCACATCCTCAATCAATCTGCTAGCGAAGTGGCACTTCAGCACGCGTGCTGGGAAATTGATACCCATCCTCAATGCTATCAATTTTCTATCTGTAGTACGGTCACATAACCTGAAATATTTTTTACCGTACTGCGCATGACACAAGTCGGCACGCATCGAAGAAGCTTGCAACTTGCAAGCTTGCACTTCGGAGTCGGCGTGCATGCTGGCACGGAATTGAATTGAGGATTCCAACGCTAAATAACATTATCCTAGCATGCGTGCCGAAGTGCCACTTCGCTACCAGAAGCCCGATCCTCGGGCCAGGGAGAAGAGCTCCCCGATAGAACGAATGTTTTGTCTTTGTCAACGTAATCGAAAAGTAAATGAGAATGATAAAGACGAAACATGTGTTCTCTCGAGGAGCTCTACTCCCTGGCTCGAGGATCGGCCCGCAGATTGATTGAGGATGGGCCTTTATTTTATAGATTCCATTATAAATAATGTAGCATTTAGAGGGTACGTTGATTCGGGCTGTAGTGTAGTTACTATTAAGAAGTCTGATGTAACTAAGTTGGGCCTCCGTCAAGAACGGACACACGTGTGTTTGCGTGGCTGCGGAACTGGTTTTGTCAATGTATTCTCGAAAGTTGAGTTAGATCTAACAGTTGATTTAGCCACCGTACGTGTTACAGCTATTGTGGTGTCCGATGAGCATCAAAATAACTCTTTAATTATCAGTCAGCCATTTATAAATAATACAAATATTGTTGTTGTCGTTCGCGACTTACAAGTACGACTTTTCAATAAAAATTTATGTGATTTACCTGAAACTGAAAGTTTACCAACCAAAAAAAGTTAGTTTACGACCTAAAGAAACTGTTGTTATTCCGCCTCAGCATATTGGTCATATAGCTATTTCTGCTGATGAGAGGTACGGACATGTTTTTATTGATCATCAGTACAAGTTCGTTCTAGCAAAGTATCATGTCATGCGTCGCTGTATAACAAAGTGTAATGCGGGTGTGATACCTATAATGTATATTTCTGATAACAATGGGTATGAGTTTAAAGAAAATTCTATTGTCGCTAGAGGGTATTGCTGCTCCGAGAAAAATGATGTAGAGGTTTGTCTTGCTATTAACTAATTTAGAGCTATTCAAATTAATAAGACTACCTAATTGTCTTCAGTATTCCTAGATAGCAAAAGTTACACTTTATGAATTCATTAAATAATAGTTATCGTAGCCGTTTCGCTACGAAAACGAGCGAGATAGGTACTTGTAATATGACCAAGATATCAATTGGATGATCATCCAATAACGTATCGATCATATCGACAATCATACACGCAACGCGAAAAAGTTCGCGAAATAGTTGACGATCTCCTGGAAAACAACATAATTCAAGAATCCCAGTCCCCATATACAAGTCTAATAGTGTTGATGAAAAAGAAAAATGGTGAAGAACGCATGTGTGTGGACTACAGAGCCCTAAACCAGAGGAGGAAGGAAAAGTTCCCTCTGCCACGTCTTCATGACCTTTTCTTTCGGGTCGATAAAAGGATGCCAGTACTTTACGAGCTTGAACCTTGCCTCGGGCTACCACCAGATACCCGTTGCGAAGGATTCAGTTCAGAAAACTGCTTTTGTGGTCCCTGACGGGCAGTACGAGTATCTAAGAATGCCATTTGGGCTTGTCAATGCCCCCGGTGTGTTTCAGAGAGTAATGTACGCGATTTTAGGTTCTCTAAGATTGACTTCAGTTTTGGCCCACTTGGACGACGTCCTTCTACCTGTCGTGGACATTGAAAACTCATAGAAAAAGTGATACTAACTATTGAGTGATAAAAAGTCCTCAATAGTTAGTGAGTTTATGGTTGATTTTATAGCATTTAATCTAGAGACATGATAGTTTCTTTTGTTTGGTAAAAGTATGTAATATTCAATAGCATCCACTAATCCATTACTGAAAAAAACAAGTTCTTTGGATGTGATCCATTTTTTTTTTCCTCGGGTTTCAAATTATTGTTGGGTAGAATTATTTCTGGAAGCATGAAGTTTAAATAGAAACCAGTAATTTTCCTTTTGTTCTTTGTCCAGAAATCAGGACAACGGATGACTTTGATTACTGGTATGTGCTTCTTGGAATATATAACTAAATCGCATTCAGATTTATCAGTGACTTCCAAAATTCCTTGAATTTGATAGAAATAATTGTCGGGTTTATGGAATTGCCAGAAGCATTTAGGAAATCAAGATTCTTTTCATTGTGGTCAGAATCTCTGATTGAATATGGACATTTAATTTCAAATATTGTTTCCTGGTCAACAAGCCCATCAGGAGATGATACAATAAATGGATATTCCTTATGCAAATGTGATCCCATAGGCATAACAAAGACCCTAGACTTTTTTCATACTCAGCATTAGCAACATCTTCATTTTCAATCCCGTAACTTATGGCTGGAATTTTAGAAAAGTGTTGACAATATTTATTTTAGAGAAATCATTTTTCAATTTGCATATCTTTCCAAATGAAGATGCTGTTGTCCGTTTTTTTCTTTCCTCGTTCCACCTAACAGACTTCCTTTGATCCTTGTTTCATATTCCAAGGAAGCTTTTTCCTCTTCTGACAAAACAAGCTGATTTAGGAAATATTTACATTTGTGAAACAGGTCTGACGGTTTTGAGGATGGGATATCCTTAGCGGGAAGAGTTGGAACATCTGTACATGTTCAGATATTCATAGGTGGAATATTTTCAT